GCAGTGCGTGACAAGGGATATGGGGAAGGAATGGCAGGATGGGACAGTCACAAAGAGAATCTCAGCCCCCAGGCCTATTAGGTCGAGGCAAGTGAAACTCCAACAGGTAAGAGATTATCTTTTACAGTGTGTGACAGATTAGGTTAAAGATGATAATCATACATGGAGGGGAAAAGTCTACATCTAAGCTCCTCATAACCAGCAATAAAGTGAAAAGAGAGAAACTAACCTCTGACAGGTGAGTTTTGCATCAGGTGTGAGGCTAGACTTGATAAGCCTTAAGACTGATTCCTTCCCAAATTCCCCCCATGCAGTATTGATTAAGGGGGACTAGTATCTGCTCTAGGAGGTGCTTTGGGACTAAAGGAGCACATGGCACATAGGTAAGCAGACTCAGGGATAAAAATCCCAAATGAAAGCCCTTAATACGTGGAGACAGGCAGCTAGACACATGAGGCCAGTGTTCAGGGCCAACGTTGAAGGTGGGCTGATCCACACAGGCCCACCTGCCTTGCTCTCTATGCCATCTGGATAACAAGTGGTCCCTGTTTCTGACCCAAATCTCAGTGTTGGCTCCCCGCCTTCCCATTTTACAACTGGGGAATGTATAAGCCTCAGAGAGGCTACCCACTCAAGGTTCCAGAGACAGGCGATGCACTGTCACTTGACTCCTTGGAGACAGATGCTAAAACTTCCCAGAAGTCCTCATGAAGTGACGTTATTACACATAGGGTTTCCCTTCTTTCTGTAAAGGCATGTGCATGAAAACAAAACTTCAAGGTCACCGTAAATACAATTGAAAGCAATAAATAAGTAATTTAATGTTATAAGATAATATACACCTACATATAAATATATATATATATTTAGCTTTTTCATTAAACTATCAGTTCTTTCGTTATCCTGAATTAGGTAGTTCAAGGAATCAAAAGTGTTGGATTGAACAAGTGATACCAAAAAATCCTTGAACAGGATAGAAAAGAAACATCCAAAAATAAATAAATGAAAGGGTGGCTGTTGTTTTAAAAATACCACAACACTTCATTTGTAAAATCTGTATTATATAAGTCAACAAAAATTTTCTATTTACCATGCTTTTAAGCAGAAGCTTGATATATACCTGGCAAAATGTGCTTTTAAACTTGGTAAAGCAATTACAAGGTGATTTTCAATAATTCCACTGCATGAATCAATTTATCTTTGGAAAGATAACTTTTTTTTTTTTTTTTTTTTTTTGCTGTACGCGGGCCTCTCACTGTTGTGGCCTCTCCCATTGCGGAGCACAGGCTCCGGACGCGCAGGCTCAGCGGCCATGGCTCACGGGCCCAGCCGCTCCACGGCATGTGGGATCTTCCCGGACCGGGGCACGAACCCATGTCCCCTGCATTGGCAGGCGGACTCTCAACCACTGCGCCACCAGGGAAGCCCAAGATAACTATTTTAAATTAATGGCTACAGAGGCTGAACTCCCAACTCTCTGCAAACCCATTAAGTCTTCTTCTCTGTTCTCTGATCTCCTGTGATAGAATAAGACCAGCATTTTTTATTTCAAGAAAATCACACTGGTGCTTTGATTCTTCAGTTAAAGTAAATGGCATGATTATTTTTGGCTGTTTATTAATGAGTTCCATGCAAACTCATTAACTTTCATGTAATTTACCTTGTAATACAACTAATTATTAAATTATCTATTTCTTGTCTCAAAAAGACCGCCCATAAATCAACATATTAAGTGTGTAAAAAAGGATTTATGTGGGTTATCTTACCCATATTCAAGTTTGCAGGCAGTGCCATATCTGTGAGGAACCACTTCCTGAATTCATCCAAATACCATAACAGATATTTATTTTATTGCTGGCACTGCTTCTGAATTGCTAACAAGCCCACATAAAAAGGCACCATCAATGAGCAGCAACTTAGTTAGCAGTGATATCATAAATTATAAACAATTCATTCACTCAACAAGTAGTGCCAGGCACTCTGCTAAGTGCCGGAAATATAATGGTGCCCAAAATGATTCCTGCTCTCATAAGGTAAGGGGAACAGGTATCAATCAAACAATCACATTATGGAGTGTAACTATGAAATGAAAAGGAAAAGAAGGGTTAAAAAGGAAAAGAAGGGTTTCCCTGGTGGCGCAGTGGTTGAGAGTCCGCCTGCTGATGCAGGGGACACGGGTTCGTGCCCCGGTCCGGGAGGATCCCACATGCCGTGGAGCGGCTGGGCCCGTGAGCCATGGCCGCTGAACCTGCGCGTCCGGAGCCTGTGCTCCGCAACGGGAGAGGCCACAACAGAGAGACGCCCGTGTATCGCAAAAAAAAAAAAAAAAAAAAAGGAAAATAACACAATGTAAAGTAAAAGAATCTCATCTAGACTGGCACTGGGCATCAGAGAGCGATTCCCTGAGGAAGCCATGCTTAAGCTGACATCTGCAGGACTAAGGTGTATGGGGGGGTGGGGGGGCAGGGGGCAAATGAGGACTGCAGGCTGAGGGAACATCATCTGAAAGGGCCTGGGGTAAAGGTAAGCCACACTTTCAAGGCAACTGAAGGCACGCCAGTGTGTTTCATGCACAGGGAGCTAGGGATACAGGGATAAGAAAATGATGTAAGGTCTAAGAAAGGTTTTAAAATAGGGAGCAGGCAAAGGACCTCTACCATTATATCCTGCTAGGGCTTTAACACTATAATGCCTGTAAGAGAATTCTGTAAATTGTAAAGCACCCCACACTTTTGTTAATAGTATTAGTTACACTACTTTGTTTTCTAAATAAACTTTTGGTCTGGATGCCAAGTGACTAGCTGAAAGCAGAAGAGCCAAAACTGGTACCCCAGTGTTCTAATGCAGTGTTTTGCCCCTACACCACACTGCCTAAAAATCTCATTGTTTGCATCACTTAACCAGTCCAATGTCTTTACCAGACAGCTAGTGCTTCATGACAACAGTAACTCCAATTGTGAGCATTTACTATACGTCACTTTTCTAAGCTCTTTATTTACATTAAACTCATTTAATCCTCAATTCCAGAAGAAAGGTTCTATTTACTGTCCAGATGAGGACAATGAACCTCAAAAAAGTTAAATAACTTACTCAGAGTCACAGGGCTAGTAAATATTGGCACTGTTACCCACAACACTATTTAGCTTCTGCCTACAACATTTGTGTGGGTCTGTGTATGTATGCAGATGTATTAGGGAAAG